GTTAATAATATTCATCAATTACGGTATCACTTTACTAATCTAAGATGTGATATGATAATATTTTCACGCCTAAAACAAAACAAAAATCTATGTTCAGTGTAGAAAATTGAATGATATCAGTACATTTATGGAACTTGGGTGTGTTTTGAAGAAATACGATTGTATTATAACATTTGAACGAACTATTTGTTTCAATGCAGAATGAAGGTTTCTTACACATAGAACACATTTTTCCACGTTTTCCATGCTACAGTTAATTCACCTGTCTAAGTGTTTTTTTCTTCTCCTAGCTGCAGTACACTGAAACAGAATAGAGTTAAAACATGGATTATCAATATAGTTTCATTATATTATCTGACATAACCGTAAAATAACTAGATTATTTATGAATAATTAAGCACATTTTAAAACATTGTATCATGACAATTCACGTTAAATTAATATAACGAGATTTGTGATAAATATATTGTTAATTTAGGAGGCAAGCAGTGGAAGTAAAGTGAAACAATTTGGAGGACAACAATTTAATGAGTCTCCAGTTGGTTCTTCTGTTGGCATGAGAAGTGGTAGTGCCGGTGCTGAAAGTGGTTCATTAGGTCATTCTGGAAGTAATGCGAATTCTGGCGATCATTGTTCACCACATGCAGTACATTCCAAGGAACGTAAAAGATCAACTCCACGTACCAATGTTTACGCATGGCCACGTAATGCAGTGAAGAATGCAATTGAAACTTTAAGTACACAAAAAGAACAATGGGTTGATGGACCTAAATCAGATTTTCATCCATCTAACCTTATTCATCAAGCATCTCAGGTTACCACAAATGTAGTGCCGAAACCAAGCATGATTGATAAAGTGAGTTTTATATATCTGATTACCTACTTGAAGTTAATTTGCTAATCAACGATTGAACTAATTTTTTTGGATCAATCAATCAATCAAAAAAAGATAAGGAAGACAGCTTTTATGATGATGGTTTGAACCATATTGTTTTCTTTAAAGAAATACATTATAGGATACATAAAGTATATAAAGAGTCACAGAATATTTCTCAATTCTAACGATCGATACAAAATGGCTACAGGGAAAAACAATCATGATCCTTAGTTGTATAAAACGACACAATATTTATCACAACAGAATTATAAAATTAGCCACTTAAGTGACCAGAATAAGTTTACAATCGCAAATATTTTCATAGTACATATTTTTATGTAACTTTTCAATAAAGTGTATCTAAAATCTCAACTTATTACCTACTACATATAATTTTCCAGGAAACGCAAGTTGAGGAACAAACTAAAACTTCAGTACAAGTGATAAGTCCATCTCAAATATCATTACAAGAAGAACATCATCCAACTAGTGCCAGATGTACACATATGCATCAAAAGATTCCTGGAAAAGATACCTTCGAGCAAAAAACTGATGAATTAGGTAAGGCAGAACAAGATAAACAAATTCAAAATATTCCAAAGAATGTATCCATAAAACCAATTGCTTTAGAAAGGCCGAATATAACGTCAAAATCTAACACAACAAGTCAAATGGAAGGAATGATTGATCAATGCCCGAACGATGGAGGTAAATGAATACTATCATTTATGATTCCCTGTAAATTTTACTATTAAACCATCATGCCATTTTCTCCCGATATAATTATTTTTGTGTTGAACATTGTTATCGCTGCAAGGCTGCTGAGTATTTGTACAACAGAATGCACTACGATATTGAACTACTGATTAATTTGAACAAAGAACTCTTGGGATTTCCATTATATGAATAAGAAGAAAATTGCTGATTTATTGCATTAACATGGAAGGTTTTTTATTGCATAAAATGTGTTAGACTAAGCGAATAAAAAAGACTGAAGTAAGAAGAATATTAAACGTCAAAGTTGATTTTTGAATGTCTGTCGTGCGGCATTTCATGCTCACTGTTCAAAGTTACTATACTAGGCCACTAACATTTGGTCATTGCTCTCTAATTCTCAGTAACATCGCAAAGGTTATCAATTATCCCCAAGAACTATCCAGAAATCTTTATAACGCTCTTCGGAGTAAAATTATTTTGCTAAAATTGTTCACACGTTCTTAGAATAGTTTTTATTCAAAACCGAAAACTTGATCAGCCTCCTTTCAATTTCATGTAGATTTGTAAATTTTGCAAAGCGAATGTTGGCTTAGAAGAACAAAACTGTTGTTCCCCGATTCCCGCTTCTCATTGTTACACAAACTTATGTCACTCGGAAGAAAATGTAACCTCATAAGTGAAACTGAAACTAGAGTAATGCACATCAGGTGTTGATTTCAATTGTCTTATTGAAGATCATTTTGATTAAACTAGGCAAAACCTATAAACACAGTGTATCGTATGACGTTTCTCTAATAAACTATTATCATGTGCTTACTCAAACATGTTACCCTTCGAGGAACATAGGTAGAAGATCAACAGTCTCTAATTCACCCTGTTCTGAGCTTTCTTTTCCAGTTACTACCATTGGTTACTACTCATTCATTTGGTATCTGCCTCCAATTCACAGTGCAATGTGTTTGTTCTCCTAACTCTTTTCGTTTGAACTCGGCGATTTTAAGTAGTGGATAACTTTTTGATACCGTTTATCAATTTCGCAATGTGTTTCCTTTCCCCTTCAACAGTCTCCTAATTTCCTATTCAGACAAGAGGTTGTTTGTCCGCTGTCTCAATAGATTATTGCGGACTGTGTCTGGTTTGCAGATTAGGATTATCTTGTTTAGACAGCTGTATATATGTTTTGAATGGTGGCTGGAGTAGTTCGACTCAAAACAAGAGAACTTTAGAGATAGCTATGTTGATAATTCTGACTGTGATGTTGGTTTGGAGTTGTTGTGATTTCCAGATATCCTTCTATTGTAGGACTGTTGCTGCTTCCTTGTCGATCCGTATCTTCACATCAGATTTAGACCCTCCTTGTTTATCGATGATTGATATAGAAAGCTAATAAGTAATTTATTCATAAAACGACTGATAAAGCAGTCACTTAATAAAGTTTTGATTGTATGAAGTAATTTTTACATATATATCTATTTAGATCGCAATTTTCAAGTAGCTGTTCGACGCAGGTAGGTATATAATGATATTGTGAAAATAAAATGGAGGGAAAAAATTTATCGAGAGTTTTTCACATGCCGTGCAGAACGTTTTGGATTATAAAAAATACGAAATCGTTACTGGATTCTTTTGCTTCAGAATAAATGGAGCAGTGTTGAAATGCCAAAAGCCTTCAGACTGGGTTTTTTCCAAATTATGTAAATTTTGCTTTAGTACTATAAATCTTTACTAAGTATCGGTTTTGTTCGTAGTGTACAAAGCTAAAACAGTTCAAAAATATCCTGACTTAAATCACTTGACAGTAATAATGCAATACTTTCAAAACTGTCACTATCATTTTGGAAGTATTCCTGACATGATAAAACTAAGTGAACTAAATACTGTGGATAAAAAGTGAGGAGTAGGTAGCTTAGCTGAATAATATCATTAACGACAAATGCTTTGAAAATTCGCTGGTTGACTTTAGGCTATCAAAAGAATATCTGCTTAATGTCTAACTTTAGTGATAAATTCAGCGAGAGAATACTATTAATAATAGCGAAAAATAATTGTGCATCATAACAAGTTCAGACTTGATTGGATAAATGCAGTAGGGTTTTTGGTTATTAATCAATAATGAAATCATTTACACTTTACTTGTTCTGATTTTTCCCGATATATATATATCATTTCTCTTTCTAGAATTACAACATGCTGATGCAACATTGAGTAGTCAGTGTTCAACATGTGTTATGGCTGATTCACTTATGAATCAAAGTAATTTAACTGTCGAAACAGGTAATGTAACAAATGTTGTACCAATAGACAATGATACGAAACCACAATCATTAGAATCATGGACTGTAAATCTTAGTCAAAACACTCCTGCTCCAAAAGATTCTATACAACATACACCTAATCTGAATCAAGTGATAAATGTGAACACCTCGGTCAAACAATCATCTAATGAAAATCATCTAACTAAATCATTTATGAATCATAGTGATTTGAATGCATCTATTACTAAGGTGAAACCATTTGTCAAAGATTGGATTCAAAAGCATAGTACATTGCCAACAATAAATACTACTATGCAGGAAGATTTTACCAATGTAAGTCGATTACTTCATTTGATTAATAAAAACCTGACTTTCTCAGATATTGGAAAAATTTATAATTATGCTATTAGAAGATTCTCTTTAACACTGATTGATTACTTGGCACACCAGTGAAACAGAAGTAGTATTTATATGCAGTGATGATTCATTCAAATGATCGAGTAAATTGATCAGATATATAGAAAAAACAACTGAATCTTCCTAACACACTAGATTTCCAAAGATTATCTAATTAAGATATAGTTTACATTATCAAACTAACCTTAAGTAACTTTAGAAACTTAACTGTTTTGTTCTAGCGTAAGTGTCTTTGGCTCCATCAGATACAGGACATTTAGACATGGTTGTAAGCTCTTTTTCTGCAGACTATCTAGTTAGTACTTCATGTACCACATTTTCACCTTCAATCAGTTTATATTTAACAAAACCAGAAACAAGAAACCTCTTATACTAATATTCACCTGTCCACTGGTGATTAGATAGAAGGAATCACAATCGGCGGCTCACCCCAATTCGTGCACGCAGTTTTGTATTGACGTAAAGAGGATCTTATTTTTCAAAAATAAACTAAATCAATGTTTTGTACTTACTTACTTACTTACCTACTTACGCCTGTTACCCCCAATGGAGGATAGGCTGCACACCAGTTTTCTCCAACCAACTCTGTCCTGGGCTTCCCCTTCCAGTTCTGTCCAATTTTGTTCATTCTTCTCATATATTTCTAGGCTTAACCATTGTTTTGTAGTATGCTTTAATTTTGTGTTGTTTTAAGACTGTTTAGAGTTCTTCTGTTGTATGAAGACAGTATTTTAAAACTACATTACCAATCTATGTTATTTCATGCAGACTAATCTTGAACATATAATCGTCTCGCTTAATTAAATTTGTCAATAATATTCACTGGATGTTAATTATTTACTTCTGTTCCCTTTATTTATCTCCGTGAAATGTAATAATCTTGGTTGTTTTTCTGAAGCGAATAACTATTTAAACTGAGGTCAATTGAATTAATCTATTCATTCTCTAAAGAAGTGGCTTGTACAAATTCACGAATGTCAGAAAAATCCTTTTCATTTATTCTATTTATTAAGAAATTACACAAATATTATTTTTCTGAATAAAAATCCATCCGATGCTCAATTCACTTGAAAGTATCAAGTTGAATTTTGGTAATGGTACTTACAAGGTTAACGGGATTACTGCTAAGCCTGCAGGTCGTGCGTTCCAACTCTTTAAAGGTTATAGATGATAACTCTTGAGAACTCCCATATTAGTACGGGAAAACTGTTCAGTGCTAATGTATGTTCAATAACTGTCTGATTAAAGTCATTTCATCATGTAGACAGACTATCTGGTTGTACTTAGATTATAATCAGATCATTTCAGTATTGATTCATATATATATGTTTATTAGAAAAAATTTTTCATTTTAAAAAATATTCATATTCCATTTTCAGACAAACGATCATCATCAACTTCAACTAATGAAATCAGATGGAAATGAATTATGCCCTGTAATCAATGCAAATCTTAGTATGGCACTTGGAGAGATCGGTAATGAGGGTCAGGCTATCAGACATCACATGTAAGTAGCTTTAGTAAAGTATACATCAATATAAGTACTAAGCAAGACATAACATTATTGAATCATTTTTTTAAATCCTTAATTTCTTTCAAACTGAGAGCAAAGTAAATTGATTTAATAAGGCAAGTGTTATTCTACTACTCATTGATTCACTTCTAGCTACAAATGATCCGAACTATTTGCATGATTTCGTGCTTAGAAAAGTGAGTATGTAGCGTTGCTTATGATTTCATGTACTGTCCTTCCGATAAGAATAAACCATCATTATAAGTTGCTTTTTAAAACCTCCATTAACTATTCACGTTATTACATGCAAGGTATTATACATTTCGCCGTCGTCATAGTGCAAGATACTACATACAGTTTATTAGCTATGCTTTGATTGCTACTTATCATGTTTGTGTTAAATAAATAGTTTCTAGTTATAATTTAGTCAATTTTAATTATATTAAAACTCCATCTGTAGCTTCACTAGGGCTATTGCGGTCTCAAGCCCAGATAACGTAGGAGGCTCGGGGATGGGGTTAAAGACCCCATCCCATAGAAAAGTTACTCGCTAAAAAAGGCTAACCATGAAACTGGTTGGCGGCCTATGCTCGATTGGCGGAGGGCGGGGGTGTAACAGACGTAAGTAAGTAGTTACAAAATCCCGCATTATATAATAATCACAGAAAATGGTAAATTTATTGCTTTTCTCCCAAATTTACACTGTTCATTCAAGATACGATCAACCATCTTTCGAAGTGATATCAGATTTAATACATGTATTATTAACATACGTACTCTTGTTTTGTAGATTTCATGGCAAAGGAGAATTCATAAAGCCTGAAGGTAACTTATGCTCGAATACGTCCACCTCGAAAACACTAACTGATGCATTATTCGGAAATGCTGCGCTCCAGCCAAAGCAACCTCTTATTAATTCAGTTCAAACATCTTCAAACTTCGCAAGGATAGCTGCCTGGGTTAAGTCGGTATCTGTTGAAACATGTAACGCACATGAAAGCGGTTTTAACCACTCGAGTGAAAGCAGTGCAATGAATAAACCCCATGATTTTTCGAATGATATCTGTACAAACACGAAACATGACTTAGTATCTCACCGTCAAACATGCTACTGCCACACTAATACTGAAAACAAAACATTGTTTCCTGGAGAAGGGCACTTTATCCCTCATCATATGACACGGTCTAGAGTACGTAACTATGAAAATGCCGTAATACAAAGTTCAAATTGTACAAAACGTAGTACCCTACGCCGTGGAAGGTCTGTACCGCCTAACTCAATACAAGAAGGTTGCCACTCCGAAGTTCCTCATTCCTTTGATGAATACGCCAAACAGGATTTGGTCATTGTCTCTGAAAGAACAACTACTCCACTCCCGGTTTCTGTTTCTTCTGGTCCACTTTGTGGAAAGGAAGAAAATTTTAACATATTTAGGAGGAGTGATAGAGACACACCCTCTTCAAGACGTCCTGATGGATCATCAAACCCACATTTACATAAAGAACCACAAGGAACTGACATCCAGAACATAGTATCAAGTGATAATAAAACTCAGAATAACAGTGATATATTTAACGAAAAATTATCACATCATGCAACTGGATTTTGGGCATCCTCTAAAAAGTCTCACTTTCGTAGTAATACAAGACCTTCCAATGAAGAAACTATGGGATTTTCTTCAATGACAACTAAACAATGTGCCAACGCATATGTCAAAACTTCCCCTTTACGAAAGACATGCTTTTCACCTGAAGCAAAGAAAAAGTCAAGCAGATTGCATCAAGATAATGAATCACATTTACTTGTTTGTACTTCACCAAAATCCTCCAAATGTCAACGATCGCATAGTTTTTGCTCTTCAATAGAAAGTGAACATTCTTGCAATAGGAATGATGTGTTATTAGATAGTTGTGCAATTCACAAACTTGATAACGCACAAAACGATGATAACGTCGGGACAAAATTAAATATTTTACAGACTACTGCTGGTAAGAAGTTACCAAAAGAAAGTCGAACTAAAGTAAGCACTTATTTTTTTCGGGCATAGTTTTGGAGGTTTGCGTTTTTTACACATTTGAAATCATCAATCAATCATTGTTAGACCACCATTAGAAACCAGAAAGCACTGGACGGCCGTTCTGTCCAGGTATGGGACTCATCAGTTTATGATGACCTAAAATACTGATAATAATAACTTCTACAATTCAGAAATTACTTTATTTTTGTACCCATGTTCGTATGATTATTCTCTTCGATACGTTTAAATGGGTTAATTTAGTGTTGTATATACTCTGATTTAAATATTTACATGTATTCTCATCAACTTTGATTATTAAATGATACTTCAACGAATTTTATTTGTTAAGTTATTGTGTAAAGATTACTTCAAACTAAAAACCAACACATGTATCTGCATATCATACTTTTGAAGTAAGTCATTCGAAAACTTTTGTCAGTATTGTTTTCCCTGCGCTGGATGATTTAATTATGAAAATTTCAATATCATTCAAAGCATCACTAGATTAGGCACTGAATCATGCACACCTATCATAAAGTTAGAATATGAACAAATAAATAAAGAAGCTCAAATCAGGTGAGAAGAAAATCTAAATTAAACCCCAACATAACAGTTACTCAATTGTGGATAACAGAACAAGCTTTTAATTAGTTGAACAGAAATTCTAACATAACTGACTTCTGTTTGAAATTTGTGTTGATGATGTTATTTAGAAAGACAATAAAAATTCGCAGCTAGTCCAACGAGCTCAGAGAGAAAAAAACTTTCGAAATCTCCTTCTTCAGCTACCAGTATTTTTCAACATCTGCTCAAATTACTTAATCAGTGTTCTAAAACTTCATGAATAAATGGTAGCTTGATTTCATGTCAAACTATTCACAACGAATAGTGTTGTCATCTCGACGAATAATGATAATAATAATAATAATAATAATACCTGAAACACTTTTTCCATGTAAACTGCTCATTTAATTATTTTCATCATTCATAAAATTTATTTGAAAAACTGACCAAGAATTATTCTATTTTGAATTTCAGACAACTAAAGGACGATTAAGCTTTTTAACAAGTCCTTTATTTGGAAAGCGTAAAGATAAAGAAGCAAAACATTCTGAAACCACAATAGCACAAGATACAAAACATGTTAGTCATCAAACTGTAAAAAATTCTGACTTACGTCGTAAACCACAAATTAAAGACTCTGATCATTCCAATCAAAATAAACATTCTTCTTCTCAGATTGATACATCTGAATTTCAAATACGTATAGGATGTATTCGTAGGGATAAATCAAATTCTAAAAATATACAATCAGATAAACAGCATAATACAAATAAGAATACACTTTCACCAAATTTACATGCGAGTACCATTCCACTTACAGCTAATACTCCAATAGCCTCTACAAAAATTTCTTCAATGCAGTCAAGTAGTGGGCATGGAAGTGAATGTAGTAGTAGTTTACTTACCGAACAAAATATTGCTTGGAATTCTAAAGTAGAACCGAATACATCATTGCGATGCCGTTGTAAAAGACATAATCATCATCATCATCACCATACTCATCAGCATCATCATCATTCAGGAAATGGACAAAAGTGTCATCGATGTTTTCAGTCTTCACATACATGTCGACCAGACTATCATAATAATAGAAAATGTGACGTAGCAAACGAAACAAGAAAACCAGCTGATGGTAAGAGAAGTTCCGAAAGTGGTAATTCGGCTAGTGAGCACAGAAAAGTTGAAAATAAAGATTCAGACGAACATAACAGGCAATGTTCTGATGACAAAGCTCTTCTTGAATCATTTGAAACGAGCAAGTTGTCGATCGGTATCCCATCTTCCAACGTATCTGGCTCTGGCCCTCGTCGAGGAGGCGGTCATGCAAGTAGTGGTTACGAGAGTATTGTACGTGATAGTGAAGCTTCGTCGCACGCTGATTCCACTAGTGGCAGCTCTGCTGGGGGTGTTGGTGTTGTCATTGTAGATGTTAAAAAAAATAAAATTATCCCTCAAAAACATTGTTCTACACAAGAATACTGTGACCAGTGTCATAGGATTAATCAAACAAATATATCACTGGATGAAAGAATAACAGAGTCACAACAAGTAATTCAAAGTGTCAGTATGAATAGTTATACTAAAGAAGAACTAAACGAACGATCTATTCAATGCAGTAGTCACAGGATTCAATCCAATTCCCAAACTGTACAGACATTAATCACTTCGAAAATTGATCCGAATGTAAATAACCTGGAATCATCGTGTCAAGGCTTTCAACAAGTTCACTTGACATCACCATCCAAACAGTCTTCGCAACAGCATTCAACAAATTCCAAATCCAGTGCAACATCAAAAACTGTAACTTCCCAATGTAAGTATCGTCAGCTTTTGTTCAGTGACCATAAATCATTTCTATCTTAGCTTTATTAACATATTTTGGTTGATTTGGGAACTGTCTAATAAAGACCTACCATACTGCAGGTTACTTCTTAAGAACAGACTTGCATTACTATATCTTGAAGACTATTAGTTATTATATTTATTGATTGTTAATTTGTGATTAAACTGATTTTACGTAAGTGATTTACTTCAGCTTTGGAGGTAACTGTACACACTTTAGTTTGACCAGATAAGTAGTTTCAGATGTTATCAAATAATATATTTGACACAACGCTTAATAATACACAAGTTTGTTGATGACTATTGGGTTATATAAAATAAGCTTACACTTCTTCCTTTCCTCCAATCACAAAATGTTCTAGTTCTTTTGATGTGATCAGCAAGAGATATTTATCGAAGTGAATAGTTATCAAATATTCAGTGTTTTGACTGGTGTATACCACACAAACAAACAGTTTGTTTCTGTTAATTTTCATTTTTTGAAGACCTAAGTTAGTTATGATTGAGGTCGGATGACGGATTGAATTTCCAATTTATATATGTAATTCTATCCGTTTACACTTTTCAATATTTAAGTGCAAATAACCAATGATGATGTGAGCGTGAATGACTTATTTATCGACATTGTTAAAAGTTTGCAGCTTTTTAAGTAATGTTTGATTTAATCTTGCGAACGACACGCAAAACGTCTGTGGGATACTAGACAATATAACAGATATACGTTGATCTTTCTCAATTAATCTCAAGAGATTTCAAGGTGATGACTTATATTCGAATCCAAAATACCTACGTACGATCACCATTCTGTTGATTTCAAAGATAAAACTGAATTCTTGAACACAATCACTAGTTGTGATTATTGACTTGAAATGACTGCTAAACAAAGTGTATATTATCGAGATGACGTAGTATTGCAGTGTAATTTGCGTTGTTGAAAAAAAATCAGCAAGACTTATGAAATTTTTTGCTCATTCTAGATTAATAATGAGACAAGTTAATCGATTCTTGTAAATGGAGTTCAAAAAAGTATCCGTTACTCTAGCTGCTGTTTTTTCTGATGTCAGTGAAGCTTCTTCAATGCACTAGCATGAGTATGTGTGCCGTGAGGATTATGAACTCGAATAGATTTTTAGTATGTGTAGTAGAAATTATTGTCGAAAACCTAATTATGAGAAGGAAATTTAGAAGCAGACCGGGTGTATAGCAGTTGCTTAAAACTAATAAAAGGGTCTTCAATATATATGTCAAGACATTATAAAAAAGACTTTTCTATTATGTCAGGAACAACCAGGCAATAACGTTGATGTCTAACCACAGATCACTATACACACCGAATGCTGGAGGTTATGGTGCCTACTGTATATCGGTCTACACGAGATACTTCTTAGATCCCACTGCTTTCCTGCACACTAACAATATAGAAGTTATTTGGTCAAGGCTGAAGAAATTTCTCTAACCTTATCATCGCTTTAGTGATTGATTGTTGCGAAGTTGCATAAATAAGTTTCTGAATCTGTTCCTAACCTTCATAAGTTTTTAAACCATGTTAAAAATGAGTATCCATTATTTTTAATCGTAGTTTTCTGTAATATTTCGGTTCAGTAGATGACCTGCTCTCAGATTGGCTGAAATTTGTTTAGATCACTCAGTATTAGCTCAGAGGTGTTCCACAAATAATAGTCTAACCGAATATTCAGTGTGAATAGATTTTAGTCTTATAAATAGAATGGTATCTCAGTTGGAACGATCTTGTTTATTGAATGTAACTACAGTGGAGAATAACATAGCCCTATTTACAACAAGTCGTTCAATATGATGTTTCTAAAAGTACAGCCTTTTTGGACACTAGATAAACTCGTTCATTAATCTGATTAAAAAGTATAATATGATAATGAACTCTATCAGATTTATAAGTAATAAGTGCACCTTTCAGTACAAAATGCTCTTAATACAGCTCATTTACTTCCAATTTACATTCATTAGGATAAACTTATGTTTGTTTTTAGTCTAACCACACGATAAAATTATCTACAAAAAATATTAGTGACTCCTAAAATCCATCATTTGTTTGCTATTATTACTATTTTTCTGTTTATTATTTCTTTGAACTTCAGCCCTTTCATCATCATCTTCTACCTCACAACGAAGTCGTTCAGCTCCTCCTTGTTCAGAAGATACCTCGGAAGAAACTACAAGCAGTCCAATTAGTGTAAGATATGTTTCTAATAAACCAGATGAAAATCCTTCCTCTCAAATATCAACAAATATAAAGAACTCAGCGCGAGAAAACTCTTCAAATGTTTCGTGTGTCCTTCAGATGTATGCAGACGAAGTTAAAGTACGTTGTAAAACTTATATTTGGTTTCTTGAGATATTCATATCTATTGAAATAACTTACCTAATAATATTGAGTTTAAGTGTTTGTAGTGATACAATCTAGTGTTGTGATTACTTATTAGATACGAACCTACTTGAAATTCAGACAAGAATAATTTCTAAATATTTTATTCACAAATTCAACGGATTTAAACAATTTGGGGAGATAATTTTCTTCTCGAGAGTGGAACCTACGTAATGGGAAAGAGCCTGCGTCCCATTTTTCTGTCTACAATATTCAACAGAATCTGAAAGTCATATTTTGAACATGCCTTCAAGCTAAGTGGCTGAATTTTGAACAGGATACCAGATTATGAGTGTTGGGATTCGTTAATGGAATCTCAGAAAAACATTTCACCTATTTGATGGGAGAAAAATGGTATGAAATCACTTACTAAACGTTTACTTGAACATGTTTTTTAAAGTTTAAATAATGAAAGAGGCAGTACGATGTTGAGTTTTTCAGCCTTGGCTTAACCAATTGTATCCGATCGGCGTTGAGTAATCAATCACATGAATAGATTAACTCAAACAATAACAAATCTAGTATTTTAAGGATTCTCATTGTGACCAACACGTTTAAGTGAACAATATTATTTTCGATTAGATCGTCATCAGGCTTTATTCCAATATACATGAATATTTATATGAAAATGTTAAAACCAATGAAGACAATTTAGTCAGTAATCACAGCGAAATAGATTACGTCACTACACATAATGCGTAAAAGTGTAAGTTGATAATAGCAAGGCAGGTGTACTAATAACTTGTACTTTCGTCTATTATGTGTAGTGACGTAATCTATTTCGCTGTGATAATTGACTAAATTGTCTTCATTGGTTTTAACATTTTCATATAAATATTCATGTATATTGGAATAAAGCCTGATGACGATCTAATCGAAGATAATATTGTTCACTTATATGTGTCGGTTAAATCTACTATTTCTGACTGACCGAAAAGTTATATATTTCAAAAATATGCTGTTTATTTTTCACTCAATGTGGTAAAAAATCCTTCACTTAGTGATTTTATTCGAAAAAAAGTTACCCTCTAATATTACCAATATTAAAAGACCTAGCTAATTACTTCTAAATAATTAAAAAGCCTAAAACGTTTAAAGTGTAATTACAATTTAAATACTTATTGAAATCGTCAGCCGTTTGAAAACTGACTTTAAAAGTAATGTCATTTATCATTTCTATATTTTTTAAAAATAGAAGTGGAGCGAGTAAATGATCTTTGAAAAAAAGTTGTCTTAGATGATGAGACATTTACTTACGATGGACTATGTCAACTGAGAACTAAAACTTCCTATGTGTATTAATTTGAATATTCACACAAAAATAAAACCGCTGCCCAATGAGCTTTTGTTTTCACCGATTATTTAGCTAAAGTCACTGTTTGATATGAAAATGAAATTATTTTCATATGGAAATTACAGTCTACATTGCTTCGATGAAAGTTAAATTTTTATTAGATGAAACTTTCCAGAATACAGTAAGATGTAGTCGAAGAGCCTGTGACTTCATAATAGAACAAATATCCCATTTATTCTACTATGTTACTTTCAGTTTTAAATAATCTTGCTTACATGATCTGTATTGCCTAACTAGTAAAGAATTTTAAAATGAAACTTCAGTTTTGTTAGAAATCAATCCAAAAACTGAAAAAGATTCATGATTTTAGTGTATATTATATTCATGATTAACCAACAAGCCTGCTGCACATGCACGCCGCTGCTTTTTAGGCGACACAAGGATTCTTACAAATGCCAATTTTGCGATCACCGCTGAAATTAATCTAAAAACTGAAAAAGATTCATGATTTTAATGTACATTACTTAACAGTGCCGATTAGTGATTTAGTATTTTGTACACTAAACGTCATTCTTTGTAGATTATAAAAGAATTCGTCTTGTTTCGCAATAAATGATTTAATGAAATATCTAAAGGTTGTTTGCACGTTGAAAATATATGAAACCCATTTATCACTTACTTTTAATCTGTTATTTTGCTATATAAATATGTTTTATATTCTCTACCTCTCTATACTACTTATGAGTAACTAAAACAAACTACTTGATTGTTTACAAGTTGAATTTACTTCACTAAGTGTCGAATGTTTGTTCCTTTGGAGTGGATGTGTAATGTTACTTTCTTGTAAGAGTTTCAGCATCTGTAAGTTGTTCCATGAAGAAATCTTGAAATCAACGTGCTTTATTTTTCTGAATAAATCAGAGGAGAAGATAATTATTGATACAATTTTGTTCGTAGTCAGGCTCCGTAGTTGTTATAAGTTTGATATTGATAAACCTATATTTATAAACCTATACCCAACTTCTGTTTTAACAAATTTAACTTATATCTAATAAATATTTGCCCGTTTATAAAAAATTCCAAGGATAAATCTAAATCATTCATTAAGAAAATTTTGATCGAATCTTATTGATAGGTTGGAGCAGTATTTTCGAATAGCCTGATCACTTATTAACTTCCTAGAATACTTATCTAGTTTGACCTTTACTTTTTATACATAAAATGTTTCCAAACGTTAGCGTGATCAGATTGTTTACACATATATCACTCCAATAGATTATGTAAGTTCTGAGAGACTTAACTATTTCTTATTAGTTTACCTAAAATTATATGTTTGTTCTCAGAATTTAAGACCTATTTAATATGTTTGCTTCATTATGAGCTAATTATTATTCATGTATAGTCAAATAAAGCTTAGGATTATAAAATGTCAGCAAAGTTGTCGTTTATTGATTTGAACATTTAACTGCTAGTAAAGTTAGTTATCCATCTTGAAAATTTGAACAACATATACTCGAACAATATTTGTTTTCAGTTCAATCACTTTTACATTCGAATAAACAAGAATATTTTTTATATAAATATGTATGAAAATAATTTAAGAGTAGACGATCACAATGTAACAAATTGTATAACTACACACACCATAAGTAAAAAGTAAGAAGACAGATGTAATGAGCCCCAGTCAGTAGTGCAACATAAAATAAACATTACATGATTGAAATTACGCAATAAGTGGCGAAAAGTGATCAATAAATATAGAATGAGAAAAAAATCAATAATAAAATTGCTTCGGTTTTATCTGCCATGAGACTACTACTGACTAGATGTGCCAGCATAAAGCTACATTTGGTTTATACATATGATTCTTTCCTAATCACGTAGAAAAATGTTCACTCATTCATTTGTCATTCAAATATTCTTGTAGATTATAAAATGAATTCTGATGACGATCTAATTTGTCAATATTATTATTCATTTATATATTCATTGTTCTAATTCAGCTTGCGATCATCAGATAGATCGTTTTAAACTTGACTCTAAATATTAGTAAATAAAAATGTTGAGGACGTTAGATACCCAGAACTCGATTGATAAATGTCTCAATTTGGATTTCACATTTCCGAGCATGTGCTGATCAGTTAACCTTGTGATCACATTTCCCACCAGGAAAATCCATGGCTTTGATTGGCTGCTGTGTATTTTGGTGTGCTATTTTTGTTACTGTCGCAAGGACGTTTCTACGATGTATAAATAAACGAGATTTGTGTGCTGGAATGTATTGTGCTTGATGGGTGTCTGTAGAATATACTTTCTACGCTACATCAAAACTTTGGCTTAGTCGTTGAATCAGAGTAGCCTACCTAGACGCTTGTTCATCGTCTCATTTGCGTTTATCGACTAAGGTAAACCCATAATAGTTTCAAGCATACATAGTATCGAACCTAACAGAAAACCATCGCTAAATCATTCAATAGAAATAATATAAACGTGCACCTGACTACGTCACAATCACAACAATCATTGGGATTCTTGCATAGATTTGATTGATTGATTTACTTAGTTCTAATCAACAGGCATAATATTAATCTTCGTTGCTTTCTTTTTTTTAAAAAAAAGAAACATCTGTATGCATCAGTGAAAAAGTTTCTTGTTCTATTCAAATTTCAATTCAATTAAATATTTGAACGGTGTTTTAGCTTAACAGCTCACATTCAATGCACGAATAGTGAAAAAAAAACAAACAAAACAAACACATTTTAACACATACAACACGCTAATTTTTTCCGCAGTACTGATAGTTCTTTCAGTATTTTTTTTTTCATTAAATTGTCACTGAAACAATCAGACAGCTAAACTAAATCAAACAAACTGATCAACAAATTTTTCAATCAATTCTATGACATTTTATTTCGTCTTTTTAACATTTTTTAACCGTCAAATATTGTAACTGTTTTTATTTTATTTTATTTTATTTTGTTGTCATTCATTCAATTACTACTATTGTGAATCAAATAGATTACAGTGTTTTTTTGTTTTGTTTTGAAAAGTTGCGAACAAGAAAACTCTATCACAGTAAAGAATCACCAGGAGTTTGTTGTATATGCTTGTGTGTATGTGTGTGTACGTGTGTGTACGCGCATGTATGTCAGTGTATGTGAGTGCGGTAGGCTAAGGGCAGTCTTCAGTTAGTCAGTCAGTCAAGTAGAAGAAGTAGAAGGTGACAAGAGAAGAGGAAGGCTGAGAAGTGTCATGAAAAAAACAAAAATTTTTATTCATTAAAATACTTCATTTTATTTAAAATTTAAATTTAAAATGCAAAGAAAAAAAAATCAATTAAAATCAAGTTTATTCTTCCTCTTCCTTAGAGTAGTCGTTTGCAATCAGTCATTTTTAGATGGTTGTCTTCGATTTTATGTTAAAAAATTATTTTATTATTATTATTACTGATTTTTCATGTTGTTGTTTGTTTGATTGTTTCATTTTTTTTTTTAACAGGAAATGGAACGTCAAATACGTTATGAAAAAACATACGATTTATTGGCACAACAAGATATGCTTAAAATGGAATTGATGACAGCGAAAGATCGTCTTCTGATTGATCCTTCTACATGGAGTTTTGATCGTAAGTGATGAGTGAAGAAGTTCATATTAAAACTACAACATAAGATGATGATGATGATGATGTAGTGTACAATGATTGTTTAAATCATATTGAAAAAAATAGGTTGAATGATTGAATGTAATCTCCAAAAGATTCTGTCTGTATGATATTTTACTCTTGTTAACATTAATCAGCTAAGGTTATCTTCAACATCAAGAATAAATGTTAAAAACTACTTAGATTATTATAAATAATTCACCTGTTTAGCTCACTATTGTCATCAGCAAAATTTCTATTTCATTTCCGACCTGATAAATAATTCGAGTTTCATTCAGCGACCTAAACGTTATAAGATCTATTGTTGCTAGTTCAGATGTGTAGTCCTGACTTTGTGCCGATGAATATTTCCAGACTAAAACAACACAACCTTCCAGTAGTGTGTCACATTGATGGTGGAACTTATCGTTAGGATATTTTCTATACTATTCAATCGAAATGTATTGAAATTTTTAAATATTCTATTCTTTCAAAAGTTTAATAAAACAAGATTTTACCAGACTGTTAGTATCAAGCAACATTATTGATTGATTCTGTTTATTTGTATATGGATAAATATATTCGTTTTTTTCCAGGAAGTGATTGCTAAGTATTTTAGTTTATAAACTTTAATAAAGCAATGAGAAGATAGAGTTGATTTGAAGAATGTGATGTATTTACACTACACACTTTGAATAACTTAAACATTTTATGTGACATTGTATAGACGTCATGTAAATAAATGTCCGAGTAAACACATAAAGTGATAACTATGAATATAGGAGATAAAAAATCCATACACTATAGAAAGAATACAAAAAAGCTTCTTGACTGTTGGACATAAAATGGCTTAAACATTTCTAGGTTACAGCTAATCGCTTCTACATAAATAAGGGGGTATAAATTTCCGCGAAAAAGTGGCTCTGTTTTTAATCTTCGTTTCGAAAGAGTGCTATTCCAATTCCTTCAAAATGATAAAAAGTTATAAACCAACGATGATGTGGTTTTAATATTAACCTACATTACATTACTTTCTAAACCTCAGTGAATAAATTTCTAAAACCAATGCTTTAAATAGCGTTTTCCGGTCTTCAAACAAACGTGCAAAGCATATTCATTCAGTTTTACTCAAGAGTTTCTTCTAATTATGTTGCAGCTTTGAGACGTATCAAACGACCAAACTATAGAACGATCAGTTTGTATGTTGCCGAAAAAAAGTGGAAAATATCTTGACTCCCTAGATTCTATCCATTGGATTACAAGTGTAGAAGTTTCTGTGTGACCAGATTATTCGAAATTTGTAGTACAAATACTTGGATTTTTTCGGATAAAATCAGATCAAACCGTTTCCTTACCTCAATAATAAATATATTTTATCAATTATTATTTCAATAATCAGTAATGTAGAGTTGCCGAGTATTCATGTTTCGTATACGCAGTCTCATATCTTTTACATTTCCGCAAATAATATATTAATCATTTTTATTAGTTTTTTTTTAAGACAAATTCATTGTTACTGAAACATATAATGCTCGTTGTTTGCCTTGAATAAAACCCAAAAAATTTGAACAATCAGCTTTTGTCACATGTTTGGATTTTTTCAATAAAATTTTAAAATTAATATCTTTTTTTTCTCTACAGTAGATCATTAGTTATGTTCAAAGAAAAATTCGACTTTTCTTCATTTCACTTCTTACCTTTTTTCTACTAGTTATACATGTTCTACTTCAAATAAGAAACTAATATTATTATTTTCAAAATACAATAATCTTTATTTATCTTATTCGAAATAAGATTTTAACATTGTTGGATCCTGACTCAAGGATCAAGAGGTTAGACATTTACATGCGAGACTGATATTTATTGGTCGGATTTCTGATTATGCGGTCATCGATGTGTAATAATGATGGCTCTCATTCTAGGGTGAAACGAGCATCCAATACTTCTAGGTTTTCAATGCTAGTCTAACATTAAACGGTTCATGATTTCAATGAAACTCAACAATTCCCATAACCCTGGTTATTTGAAAAATAAATATTTTTGTCCTATTTTTGTATTAGAAATATAGGTCAGCATTAAGACCGAGTTAGTCCAGATGTGTATATCTGCAAAAACCAGTCTACTCAATTAATCTATCTGTGCAGAAAGGCATTCTTAGAACTATATCGTTTCATTTGAACATTATGCACAAAATATCAGCTTCTAAGTACTAATAAGATGTTATTCACAGTGCAAATAGGTCAGTGTTAAACATCTACGTTTGTAACAGTGAGGTGAGACTTAGAGTAAAAGATGTTGAAATTTCACAATGAAAATCAGTTTATTTAAGATTACAAGTATTCTTTGCAATTAATTTTAAAGAAGCCTAACTGACTTCTTATTGCTATTGTTTGACCGAATGACAGCAGATTATTCACTAGTATTTCATATAAAAGGAGTCAAAGAAGTTTATTTAACTAGTGTTGCTTCATAAGTTAGTAGGTTTATGTAATAAACATCATTGTAAAGTAATTATAAGTAAATTAACTAATAATGTCCAGGGCCTAATAGAATGAAATGTCTGGTAGCAGGTTAATGAAGAATAATCATGTGTTCTTTTGTGTATAAACTGAAGACAAGAAAAAAAGTTTTGAAAAAAATGTTCATTGTAGTAATTGAAGTTACATTATCTTTCTCTTAAATTCCGTTGAATAACAGGATAAATGGTGAGAAACATACGAGAGAGATTGTCATTACAGTTTCTAGTGCTATATCACGCATACGTATGGTATTCTAGCTTTTGAACAGACTAATTAAGTAGTTCTTCTTAAGTCCCATTTTGACCTTATCACTTATTGACTTGATATAAGGGCCTATATGTTATGATGCTTACTCCATTCATAACATGTTTATGACAATTTTTCCTGGTTATAAGTAGTTAGTTATGCTTTATGAAATAAAGCTGACAAGCCTGTTTTTTTCCACTTCGTTTCCTTTTCCCGCTACTCATTTAATCTCTGTCTCAGTAAACGAACGCCTGAAAAAAAATTCACCCAACTTAATCCATGTAAGGCTTCTTATTTCCTCTGTCGCTCAAACGGGGTTAGTTAATCCAGATGTATTATGCGGAATTAGAAAGATTTATAATTTATGGCCTATTTATTTGATGTTCGGTCTCGGGCTAAAACATTTTTCACATAAACTATTCGATATTACGACTAGAACAAAAATTGAAATTTTTTTATTGCTAGTATAATCTAAATTAAAATTTAAAATAATCAAATGAGAAATTTATCTTTCGTTTGATGAACTGTCACGTGACTATCAAATTTTTTTTTAACATTTACTGTCATAATAAAGAAGTCACTTAAACTCTTTTTTTGTGAAAAAGAAAAATTAATTTCCGACTTTGGCATAATAAATCTGACAAATGATTGATTTATACTCGGAAAGATATTAATTTCAATAAAAATCTACTAAACGTCACTATTTCCTTATTTAGTTACATAGAATTCAAGAACTAATATTCACCAATGATCGATGATGATGATCTGAGGAGAGCATATTTATAACTTAACATTTTTTAAAATATTTTTTCTCCTAAACGAATAAAATAAAATAAACACTATTTTCTTTCAGTAGCCCAATTAGACAAATTGTTGATTTGTTTGTTTTTCCGAACAAAAGTCATTTATTTTACAAACCTTATTTTACTCGTTGAAAAATTTTTTTTTACAGTTTATGTTGCTGAACAAATGGATCCTGATGACCCAAGTTTTCTTGAGGCATTAGAAAAAGAAACTGAAATCTTACGTAAACGCGTCGATGCTTGCAAATCTCATATTATGCTCATCACTTGCTTTGATTCACAATTCAAATCTGGACAATTATCAAATGTAACTAATAATTCTAGAACTAATCAACCTATCAATATAACCTATACAAATACAGATTTAAATTAATTACATATTTGATAAAATGAAAAAAAAGAGTGAATATATTCAAATTTTGTTCATTGACCCACGTGATGCAAATAGATTAAGTTCTCATTGAACACCTTGTACAGAGTTGATGAACCGATCAGCATGTTGGATAAATTTTCCGCTGAAATTTATTTGCTTTGCAATTATAAATGAATCTTGTTAGAACAACAAAAATAAAATTATCTTGAACATAGAATGACATAAGATAAAGGATTTTAAATTTACCTGATTATTTACATGACAACGGATTATTTACTTGGAAAAACAAACAGAATAAAGAAATTATCCCTTTTTTATGTACAATATTGTTTATTGAAAAACAGAAATTCTTGTTTGTTTGTTTGTTCTTTTTTTTTAAAAATCAAATTATTTCAAACAGATCTAGGGATTCTTTGTGATTACTTTATGCTTTTTTAATCATGGAATAAAAAAAAACATGAACAATCTGTTCGATTTGTTCGAATACGAAAACGCATTCAATGTCCAATAAAATATATGTTGAATCTTCTTCGTTTATGTCTTTGTATGTAAAACAAAAACAGAATTTTGTTCTAGTTAATAACCCATAGATGTATTCAATCTTTTATTCAAACATTTTGTATGCATAACTTTATTTCTAGTTGATTTGCATGATTTTCGATTAAATAAAAAAGAACGAAATAATTTCTTGTGGATATATATGGAGGTGAATTCTTTGTAAACAATGGGATTCAAATTATGATTCTTTTCCTACTCAAGGTTCATTTTGTGTGTAAATGCAATGCGCTGGTTTAGAGAAAAAGTACACATTATTAGCTTTCGCTTGCAAGACTTCGGAAAACATAGACATCGACATTCATAAATTCCATAGCAAACTGCTATTGGTCGCTGAGTCATTAAGAATTAAAAATTATAGAACACGCTCATACGATTTTGAGATAGTGTAGGAAATTTGTAGCTTAGGTGGATGATTATGTTGAAGTTTCGTTCTCAGAAAACAGCTTTTCCATTCTTAACTTGAGTGTCTTAATAAGTAAACACACTTGATCATATATAATGTCGAAAATTGGGAGTAGTTTTGTGAGAAATCAGCGTGTCAACATCTGCATAACTTTGTTATCTTTGTGAAGTTGTTTACACAAGCAACGTACATGTTATATAATCTTAATAACCTGAAGTGCTTGCTCTCTTAATGTAACTCACTTCTCAGGTTCCAGTTTCGCACCATTTTTATAAAAACAATATGAAGTGTGTAATCTATGATATAAAAATCAATGTTTTCAGTTTTTCCGGTGTTATGTTTATCTAAATCAACTTCTTCAATTCATACTTAATACAGTTGACAAAATAACTAATTATGAGTTAAATATTCATTTAAGAGAGGCAACTTTATCGGTAGTTGAATCATTATCTTTTAAAAATAGCTATGTATAACATTTTGCAAGGGCTTGTCAGAGAAGATTAATTGACAAAAATCAAATATCTGTAAGACCATATGAAAGTCCCTTAAATATTTGATCAATGTGGAAATGGTGCAAAATTATTAAAAGAACAATCATATTCTAGTACACTTTACTAAAATGATTTCTATCAGAGGTGAAATTAGTCTATATCTACAATGCAACATGGCTTTTAGAACAACACATAAAAGCGAACAATATTGTTTTCGATTAGATCGTCATCAGGCTTTACTCTAATATACATGAATATTTATATGAAAATGTTAAACCAATCAAGGCAATTTGAGTGATAATCACAATGAAAACATTTTCATATAAATATTCATGTATATTAGAGTAAAGCCTGATGACGATCTAATCGAAAACAATATTGTTCGCTTATATGTGTTGTTCTAATTTTCACAATGGGAATCTTTAAAACATGGCTTTTATTCGGTCATTCTAGAGATGACTATATATATTAGTAGCTATCTAATTGAAAAACGATTGCGCTAGTTGTCTCTATCCCTACTCGACTTCCCTGTACTTTCTCACAAAGATCTCTTAAGCTGAACTTGAATAAAATTTGTTCGCTCCATATTTAGTCAGATATTACTTACTTCGTTAAATAATCAATTATGTGACAAACTGTCGTCTTTCAACAGTAAATGAGCAATTTTACTGATAGTACTCATAACTTTATTTGTTCACTGTGACATGTCCATTTATGAAGCAATCACATGATTACTCTTCTTAGTTAATTAGTTTTGAAGATAATCATTGGATGCTTTAACTCTTCAAACTCTGTTTAAATAACTTTAAGTCTTATTAGCTGTTTGAGAATCCCAGTATCAAAAATGAAAACGGAGGTGCAGAAAGGTAGATATGACGTCCTTTGATTCAGATGTAAAAAAGATGAGGTCATATTTTGCTTAGTCAATTAATTTCAAATGACCGAATCATTAGATTACTTATTCTTCTAAGTGGAATTTACACAGTGAGAGTTAAATATTGGTCTTTATTCTAGCATAGATTTTCAATAAAGTGAAAGATGAAGTTTATTAGATAAAATCTTAACAAAGTATATAGAATTTACTAAATTCTAATACTAAGCATCACTGAATGCATAATTTTGTCGTGACAAAAATAACTTGATTAACAGCTCGATGACAATCAAGTCTTAAAAATTATACCTTTTGTTGGCTGTGTAACTTCCAAATCTTCACTTTTGTCTTATTCTATCAATGACCATTGCTTTCCAAGTTTTTTATTCAATATGTTTATGCACTTCATTGTAGACAATGAAATCTTAGCGTAGTTAAAATATCAATGAATAAAGATACTAGGTAAATCTATCCAGTATATATTCTCCTTAACATAGCTACTTCGACCGCTCAAATCGGTCCGCTAATAGAGATACGAATTCGGCAGCTTCAGTCGGCATTTATGAGTAAGTAGATTTGCATGCAACTGCAGTTAGATCACATAAGTGAATGGTACAATACAGTAAGAGGACACTTGGTACAGTATTTCTAGATTCAGTTACTAAACTAACTTCGGCTTCAGAGTAGAAGACAAGTGGTAATAATTCGTGATTATCAAGTTGATTTTTGCCTGAAGGAAGTATTTATCATGATTTTAAAAATATCTGAAAAAAACTAATTATTTTATTTAAAACTATATGTTACTTATCAGTTATATAAGTAGGTTATCAAAACGTTCAAAATGTTTTATCTGTTCTGATGAACGGCATAAGAACAACTATGGAACTAACTAATAGATACTCATTGAAATAAATAAATTAGTTTATCTAGTTTTCAAAAGTGTATCGACATATCTTATAACTGAACTTTGTTTCATACTTTTGCTCTCTATAATATAAGCCTAGAACTAAAGAGGATGCAAGTTAAGTTGAATGAAAAGAACTAACTCTAAAGAATCACATTTTCATATATTGCTTTCGGTAAATGTGACTGTTTGATATGATTTGAAGATAAGTTGTCACTAACGTTAACAAGTCAACATTCAAAGGGATTGTTAGTTGATCACCTGGATTGTTGAATTTCGCTAACTATAACATGATAGAATAGACAATGTAACTCTAGTGATCCGTTCTATAAAGAAATTTACTGAAGTTAAAATTCAGCTATAGGATGCTATTCCGATCTACAATCAGTTATTCTTTTCGATTTTCTAAGATAATGCAATATCAAAAGAACTGAATAAAGTTAACAAATTGAACTGATTAAGAAACATTAAGATGAACAGTTTAAAGTGTTGTTTTCATAGTCATACACGCAAGCTATTATGAATGGTGAAGTTTTTAAAAAGTTAACTCTGTCACAAAAAAGATAATATTGGAATAAAGTTCTATTAAAATAGCTAAGACTGTTGAGAACTTCAACATTAGTAATTTGGGAAAAAAATTTAAAAGGACTTTATCGTTTCTCTAACTAGCTTGATGAGTAGTTCTACTTCAATAAATTTATAGAGGTGGCTTAATGTAAATGAATCTCTTTAACTTGCATCGATATACCGGACCATTTAAAAGTTCTATCGGCCATTCTGCTAATATTTACTGTTATCACTGGAAGGATTGTCATTTTGATTTACAGCACTATATTTCAATAATATAACAATAAGCGATGATTTAAGTTCTACAGACATCATCATACCATTAGCAATTATCAGAACGTTCAGCTATATATGTCTTTCTTACACACAAACCAAAATTAGGTATCGAAAATATTCAAAGATTGAAAATGAAAGTTTATAACATTGATATTTTTCTTAAATAGATTTTGAATTGAAAATGAGCTTCTATTGTTCTTTTTTAAATGTCACATCGAAAAAGTCTGCAACTTTACTGTGTCTCGAACTTTTCACTGTCAATTTTATTCATGTAAAAATGACAACATACAAATAGACACGAAAAATATTCAATGAATAAGTCAAGTGTGTTAGTTTATTAGGCAAATCAATTGTTTTGCCAAATATCCCTAACTTTCATGACAATCTGAAATGGTATAACTCAGCAAATGTCAATGTTAGTATTTTAATCATAATATCACTTTAGGAATAGTAATTACTATAAATCTTTCGCTGACATCTCATACATCATTTGTAGAATTTAAATAATTTAACCAGTTACCCACTGACATATCCATCGTTTGGACAGATAATCATATGTTCATACGGATTGTATACTAATTCAGTTTCTTTAAGACGGTCAAGCAGAATAATTTATCTCACTTAAAACTTTTAAGTCTAAAACGTTTGTATTTTAGGCATTTAAACTATAGTATCATCAGCGTCAACACTTGTACACCAGTAGAATTTGATTTTTGATATGAATAGGACTAAGAATTGACGGACTTCGTTACTTTAGGTGTATATTTAGACTTTTATTTAGTTGACCTTAATTGATTTTTATATAAAATACTTTGACAAATATATATGTGACCAGATTATTTGAAATGGATGGCAAAAATGCATCATATTTTTTAAATCTACATCATCTCATTATTCTACCAAAATGTCTAAGCTGGAGTAATTACTTTTAATTTTCAATTTTGTTTGTCTAAATTGTCCTTGTTCATTGCGTATTTTTGATAACATTCTAGAAAACCGTTACCTTGAAAGTATTCGCAATCGATTTACCACTGGTGAGGATACCTATTATAGATTGTAATGTATCTGAATTAAAATATACTCGATACTATTTCATTTTAAAGTTTTCCTAATAAAATAGTATTTCGTCTGATACATAATAAAAGCAGGTGAAATGAATGATTGAGCAGAGAAGTAGAGTAAATACATTATTGTATACTTGCATAACAATCATCAATGTATATGGCGAATATAGTTATGGTTTATGATGAATCTGTAAATTTCTTGATTTCAGTGAATATACTAAAATTGTAAGATATAACCTTAATTATGGATTGACTGATCATTATATAAATATTACACACTGAAACAAGGCTGTAACAAACTGTCATGAATATATTTTCGACGAATTCTATGAACTTTTTGATTGACTAATGCACATCTGTTTCATGAAGAAATATTGATGACAATTTAAAGGTGGAACTCGTTGAGAATCGACGTCTTCTGGG